TTCTGGGCAGTGTAAATAGTTAATTTACTTGGTCACTAACCCAATGTCCACCCAGAGGTACCTCCAAAGCAAGGTCTGGTGATCTACTGCCCCCAAATCAGCCATTGAAACTCTATGAAGCCCGATTCTACTCTGACACACATGGGGTTGCCATGAGTCCAGAGACGTGACATCTGATTTAGTATTTTTGTCTGACCTCAGTTGAGCTGCCATAGCCCCAGGGCTTACTGGATCATCCTATCTCCCATGCTAAATAAACTAGATAAGGATAACAGAGAACAGATTTTGCCAAAAGGAAGCAGAAAAGGCAAATGCCTTCAGGCACTTGAGGGGAGCTAGCAAGGGTCAAGCAATCATTTTGGCAGGAAATTTTTCAGCACACCAAAGCAAGCAAAATGCAAACACAGGCTCTTGAATGAGGACAGGTTTGATGCCCAGGAAACTAGGCCCACAGTCAATTGAGCTCCAAGGAAACACACTAGAATTGTGTATGTGTATGGTGTGTATGTAGGTTGTACGTTTCTAGCCCAAGTAAGTATGAAGGGCCCCAGTTCTAGAAATGGTGTCCAGGTTCAAAGTGGGGCTCAAACACACAAAAGCTGTGTCATCTTGGACAAGTTGTTCCACTTCTCTGGGCCTCAGTTTCCTCGTGTGTACAGTGAGGGCCATGAATCTCCTTTGAAGAATCGTGTGAAAATTGAATGAGCTGTAGAGAGCGACATCTCGGTACCAGACACAGGAAGTGCTGGATGAACGGTATCTGTGATTCCTGCAACCAGGCATCACCTTTGAAGAACCCACGTGAGAGTGGGAAGCAGAGGGACTAGAAACCTGGAGCTAGAAACCACAGTGCCTCAATCTTAGATCTGCCATTTGGCAGCTGAGTGACTTGGGCATATTGTTTAACCTCTCTGTGCCTGCTTCCTCATCTGTTAAATGGAACTAGTGATGACACTTACTATCTAGAAGTGTGGTAAGCAGTGGTCCTCAGAGTATTTCACCCCAACCTTAACCTTCACCTGAGACATTCTTAGCAATGTAAAAGCAGGGGCCCACCCAGAGGGAAGGAATCAATATGTGGCTGTGGGCTGGCCACCAATGCTGTCCTCTGCCCTCCAGGTCTCTCTGGTGCCTGCTCCAGTTTGTCCCCTGGTACCTGTCATGTAGTGAGTCTTACTTGCTGCAGATATCTGCATTTGGCAGTTTTAACTGGGGTTCTAGTGCCTCCCACCCTTTCTAACTTCTCTCTCCTTTTCTCTCTTAAAGCCCCTTTGCCAGCTCTGCGTTTAGGGTGGTCTCCCACAATCGATCCACCACTGCATCTATAAACATCTTTGTGCTTCCTGGAAGAAGTTGCCCCAGAGACAGGAATGCAAAGAGTTATTTATTATTAGACCTTTGTCTCTCCCCTCTTCCCCTTCAACCTGGCATCTTAAAGAACCTGATAAATATCACTCACCTTCTAAAGGACAAGCAGAATTGGGGACAGAGGTAGTACCTGATCCTGGGCTTCCCCAGCCCAGACAGATCTCCAGCCTTGGTCTGCAAACCACCTCCCCCAGCAGGCCTGGGCCATACTTCCTCATCCCTGTATACAAGGGGCCTTCAAAAAAGTTCGTGGAAAAATGGAACGAGAAGCTAATGAAAGCCTCCTCATATATTCATTCATTCAATAAGTAAACTTGTGCCTTTACTATGTGCCAGGCACTATTCAAATGGCCAAGAAAAAGTTCTGTGGCTCTCTCTAACACCCTAGAGGGGGCAAGAGAAGCAAGCAATAAGTTCATCCGTGAGAGAATCTTACGGGAGATGTCCATACCCCCTGAACGAATGAAGGATGGAGGCCGTACAGGGCATGTGTTTTGGAGCTGGACGGACTTGAACTTAGATCTTGATCATGACCTAGCTGTGGGGTTTCAGGCACACCTGTAGACTTTCTGAGCCTCAGTGTCTTCATCTCTAGAAGTAGCCACCTTAAAGACTAGTTACAGAGGTGACAAGAGCACAGGGAGGGCTCCGTGCAGCTGGATGCTATTCAAGGTCATGCTGCAAAGCCGAAGTGCCAAGCTGATCCTCCGTGGAGAGGTTTATCTGCTGTGACAGGAACCCCAGTGACTGAAGGTCGGAGAGGTTTTCTGATTTGCCCACACTCACGCTGGGAGTGGAAGGCATCTTCCTGTTAAGCGGCAGGTCTGGGACCATTTGTAGTCAGAAGGAGCAGAGCACCTGAAACGGAACCTCTTCAAGACTCAGAAGGGATCTCCCTCACCTCCAGCATGTCAGCCTTTTCCATCTTCCTCCAGAAAACGGAGTTTGGGGTGGGAGGCAGGGAGGCGGGGAGGTGTTACTTGGGACTGAGACTGTCCCAGGCAAATCTGCCCTTTGTCCATTTCATCCTCCTACCCATTGGCTCTGCCCTGACCTCAAAGCTCCAGGGGGAGGCAGTCCGGGTTGGAAGAGTCTGAACCGTGTGCACGGACATTTCTGGGTTTGATTCCTGGCTCTGGTGCTTGCTGGCAGTGTGACCTTGGTCCTCCTGAACAGCCCTTTCTGTGTCTGCACCTACAGTCACTGTCATCCCAAGGTCACATGAGGTGATATTTTTACAGAGCCCAGCATGAGACTGGGCACATACTCCATACTCAGGCAATACTTTTTTTTTTCCCTCCTGCTCCCGGCAAGTTAATTTTCTTGTTCTTTTTGAAATATACCCTAAGCTTTGCAGTCTTCATGCCTTTGCTGATTCCAGCACCTTGCTTGGACCTCCCCACTCTGCTCCACTCCACACTGTCTCTCCCTCCACACAGAACTCTGCCTGTACCTCTCCCTCTTCTTGGTACGACTTCATTTTTGAAAATACACATAGAACTTAGGCAAGATGCCGATAGATTAACAAATACGACAGCTGCCATTTATCCAGTTCTTGCTATGTGCCAGGCATTGTACTCAGCATGCACATGCGTTAGGGCATGGAGTCCTCACACAATCTCAATTAGGTAGCTATTAGCATGCCCAATTTGCACAGGAGGAAACTGAGGTTCAAGGTTGTCAAGTCAGGCAGTGGTGGCACCTGATTCATCTTTTCTTCTCCCCTCCCCCCATACGGAGTTGGAGGACTTTAGCTTTTTAAGATCTGAGTACAGCAGGGAGGGGGGCAGAGAGGCAGGCAGGAACCAGGCCAGAGCCTGGCCTGGTTTTTCTTCATCACTTAGGTTATCGGTAAGCAGTCCACTATGAAGACCTTGCCCAGGGCTTCTGAGCTGTGACATATTGGTTGCAAGTGAAAACTGGAGAGGCAGGCCAGAGGTCTGGGTTGGGGCCAGTGTGGGGACCAGGGTTTGTGGTGGAGCTGACTGATGATTCAGTGAGGGTGGGGTGTGTGGGAGGACTTACTGTTCACTGGAATCACCCATCACCGTCTCCCTGACACTCTCTGCTCGGCTCCTTTAAAAACACCCTCCTCTTTCCCAGCCCCAAGAAGGACAGCTGGCTTCGAAGGCCAGGGGATTTGCTGCATCTGACCTTGCTAGAGATATTCCATTCTGGTTCCTGGCATAAAACTTTAATAAGCCAAATTCCCATGTGCAGAATCTTTGTACCTTTCCCCATGCAATCTTGTGTCTACAGTTACTTTATGTTCACAACAAACCCAAACCAGTTTTAGGATAAAATTGTGCACCCTGTGTTGGCTGGCAAGAGAACCTAGGTATGGACAGGTGATGTGACCAAGGTCACAGCTAATGGGGACAAAGAGGGAAGCAGGGCACAGGGGTCTGGGTTTACATTCAGGCAACAGACGTTAATTAAGTATGTTAGATATTGACTAGATAATGGGAATAAAAGATAAATCAACCCAGTCCCTATTTAAAAAAAAAAACATGTATATATATATATATATTTCACTATTGAAGTCCTCGTATGGCAGTGTAGGGTCAACACTGGACTACTAACCATGAGGTTGGTGGTTCAAACTCATCTCCTGCTCCTTGGAAACCCTATACAGGGTCGCTATGAGTCAGAAGTAACTCGACAGCACTTAACAACGACAAACCTGCCAGACACTTTACATGTTAACACATCTAATTCTCATGGCAACATTATGAGACATGAATGGTCAACTCCTTCAAGTCATTGATGTGGAAACTGACATCCAGAGTAGCCTAAGGTCACACAAGTAGAAAGTGGCATAGCTAGGATTTGAACCAGGATAGCTCAGGCTACCAATACCGGAGTGAATACGGCCTAGCACAGTGGAAAGAGGACTGGGTTGGAGTTAACTGGACATGGTTCTAAATCCCTGCTTCCCCACTATGACTTTAAACTCAGCTAAACCTTTTGGACTTCAGTTTGCACACCTGCAAAATGGAAACATGTTCCCAGAATGCGGAAGCACTGATTCTAGAGTTTAATATTAGTTAGATCTGAGTACAGGAGTGGGTGGTGGGTGGCTTGCCAGTTCCTTACTTGTGTGTGTTAAGAAAGACAAGGCCAGATATTCCTTTTCCTAATTCCCAGCCAACTCCTGGCTGGTTCCTTCTTCTGGCTCTGGAAGGGTAAGGCTAATGAAACCATACAAGTTTCTTAGCCTCGAGGTTACTGGACACAAGATGCTGGGGAAGATAGGAGGTCAGGAATTTCCATCCCTGGAATCTAAGACGGTCTCCTCTGGTTACAGATGAGAAACTGAGTCTCAGAAATGCCCAAGGTCATGAAGCATGAACCCAGACAAAAGTGGCAGGCAAAGTTCCAGAAAAATCTCAAATGCTCCTGGGTTCTCTACCTAGTAGGGAATAGAGAATCCATTCCTTTTGGGTTGTTTAAATTTAGTAAAATATACCTGGCTCATGTGACCAAGCTCTCAGATCTAAAGAATTGTCCTTTCCTCCCCACTCTGTTCTTGGGGTGTGATGAAACTCCTCCTTCCTCATCCCTGTAACCAGCATAGTTTCATGCTTTCAGAATCTCACTATCTCACGATCCACACTGTCATAGTGACCCACCTTCGGCCCCAATTTTCCCATCTCCATCCTTGTCTCCAGCGGCCAGCAGTGTCTTGGTTTCTTTAGCAGAGAGGTCTCTGGCATCTGAGGAGAAGCCCTTTAGGATGGATCTGGGGAAGGACAGGGAGAGAGTGGGCAGGGAGTCAGGCTAGGGTACTTCGCAGGAGTACTGGATGGCTGGTGGGTTGGCATCTGTGCAGGGATGCATGCAGCTGGGACATGCTGGGTTGCCTGGTCTGTTCTGTGCCTTCGTGGGTAAGAACACAGGAAGGGCAGGCAGGCTGTCCTCACCTAGGTAGACCCCACAAATAAGTGCCTGCATTTCTTGATTTACTAGACACCAATTAAGTTCCTTCTCTTTGCCCAGACCCATCATGGATACTGGGAACACGGAGATATGTTAGGAAACCACATGAAAAACGGATGTGAAGGTTGAGTACTAGAGAGAAAAGCTTCAGTGTGAAGGATACAATGATAGGGCACAGAGAAGGGTGTCAAGAGGATGTATCCATCCCACCCTGGGGAAGGGAAGGATCTGGGGAGGTTTCCTAGAGCACAGGTGAGGTTTCCACAAGGTTTAGGGGAAAGTACAGATTTCCACACCCTCTCCCTCCTCCTTATGACAAACTCCCAGGGAGCTTTGGCTGGAGGGTGACATCAGATACAGCTGGGCAGGCAGATATGGGTCAGGATGATGGAAGGAGTTTATGATGGATGTTTTCTTGGAAGATACAGTTTGCTTTTTTCCTTGCCATTACCTTCTCCTCCTTTGCTTACGCCAAAGGCCCCCTATGCCCCCCAAAGTTTGCTCTGCACTCCTGATTCTCCTTGAACTAGCCTGGGCTGCTCTAGTATAGGAGTGGAGGTCTGTAGAATGGTGACAGTATCTTTAGACAACGAAAATCAATGACATACTAAAACCGGCATCCTCTGCCTTACTCATGGTGTTAGGCAACAAGAAAAACTGACTTTTCATTTGTATTAAATTATTAAGTAGCAGTATTCCATTAGCAATATTAAGTGGCTATAATTTAACCTAGTTAGTTGCATTTTCTGCTGAGGGTTTTATTTTGCCGGAAGCAATAGCTCTGGGAGCGTTTCTTCCCAGGCTGCCTGGCTCTCAGTTCTGTGGTCATGGTCACACAATCAGACACTGTCATTTTCTATGAAGGGTGCAGACAGAAGGGCAGCAGGGGCAAGGCTGATGGAAACTTGGAAGCAAGAGTCTCAGACCCCACCCCTCTCCCTGACCTTAGGCTGGGTACTGTTCCCCCCCACCCCCAGCCCGGGGCCTCAGTTTACCCCAGCTCATCCTCCTCAATGAAGCCACTCTTGTCTTTATCCAGGATGTGGAAGACCTTCTTTACATCATCTGCAGATTTTTTCTTCAGGCCGACCATTTGGAAGAACTTTTTGTGGTCAAAGGACTCGGCAGCTGTAGGGAGATGAAGGTGAAAATGACAGGGAAAGGTTAGAGAATGGAGGAGGGGATGATGGTGTTATCTCAGGGTTACCACCTGCCAGCCTGGGGGGATGGGGATGAGAGAATGAGCTGAGGGCTGAGGAACCAAGCGAGGATTGGACTCAAGGTCACATAGCTGGTGGGGGAAGAGGTGGGCTCGAACTCAGATCTTGCTGGTCCCAGACCTACCCACTCCTGTCCACTGCCCCCTGTGTTGATGGTAGATACCAAGTGGGGCTTCTTTTAGAAGCAGCTCATGGAAGAACCCAAGCGAGACTAAGTTCTATGGGGAACCTTGTTTCTCTGAAGGAACAGTGGCTGCTAGGAGTGGGTAGGGGGTGCCCAAGGGTGGTGTATGTGTGTGTGTGGTACGGAGAGACCACCCTTTTTCTTGGCCACAGTTGGTGTTGACAGGAAACTTAGCACAGAGGGGACACATTTTCCTGTCAAGGTCATGACCCAGAGGACGACCCAGAAGCCTTGGCTTCGCTGATAAAACCCATTCCTGGGGGGAGTGGGGTGGGGTTGGGAGACTCCTGAGGGTCCTAGCTGTTTCTCCTCTGAGGTGGCAAGGTACTCTGGTCCACCACCCACACTGGGAGATGCTCTCCAGAACTTCTCGGTTTCAAGGGAGGGGGCCCCAAGCAGAAATTGGAACTGCCCCCCCAATTCTGTCTTAAGTTCCTCTTAGAACACCCAGGAAAAGGTAGAAGTGAGACCAGGTCAGTGAGGAGGGCTGGGGTGGGTGCTGTCCTGTGAGTCATTTCCTACCAGGGCTCCAGGGAAGGGAAGCAGCTCTCTTCCCCTCTGACACTCAGTGGGGGACCAAGTCCTGGAGACAAGGTGGAGACCCCAGTTCTAATCACCTTCGGTCAAATTGGTGACCTTGGACAACACCCTTACCCTCTTCAAGCCTCAATTTGCCAATCTGATAACAGGGGAGGGGGCAGTCTGGCTCTGAAGTCCCAGGAATTCGGAGACAGCACACTTCCCAGGCTGCACACTTCCCTTCCTACCGCAGCCCGCCTGCCTGGGCGGGAAGTAGGAAGCCTTGAGGATGCTCAGCCCAAGGTTGGGCAGAACAGAGCACCCGCTCCGTGAAGGTCACCTCGCTCCCGGGTCCGCTGGAGGTGGGGGCTTTGCTCTCTGGGAAGGGGGCTCGGACAAACAGAGGTTGCAGCAAGCAACCGCAACCGCTGGGTGTAAAGAGTCCTGTCCAGAACCCGGGTCCCGGACAGGGATGACAAGGTGCGAGCGTGCGGACCCTCCACGTGTCTTATAGGTGAAGTCCCAAGCGTGCACAGAGACCTCTGACCCTGGTCTTGCCCTTGGTCCTGGACCCTTAAGTCCTCCCAGCGCGCGTGGCTATCGGACCTCAACGCAGGCAAGTTTTTGTCCCGCGGGAAGGTCCCCGGCCTCCCGACCTGCTGCCTGTGCCAAGTTCTACAAGGACCGAGTTTGGAAAATCCCGAAGACCCCTGTCCCAGGCGTCCCAAAGGAGGCGTGGGTAGAAAAGCGCTAGGAGCACCAGCCTGCACTAGGCTCACGGGGCACAGGGGCGAGAGAGGTGGATTAGGAGAGGGGATGCGAGGGGGAGCGCGCTGCTCACCGGTAAAGGCCCCCACTGCCTTCTTGATGTCCTCAGCGCTGAGCAATTCTGTAATCGACATCCTGCAACTGTTTGAGCGGGCAGAGCAAGTGCGAAAAGATTAAAAAGTGCTTTTCTCATCATTTCTGCTCATATGACCAGCGCTGCAGTGCTGAGCGCCGGGCGCACGTCCGCCCGGCCTGGCACGGTGCCAGGGGGCTCGGGACGCTGCGCGCAGCCAGGGTGGTTCAGTGCAGCCGCGCTGCCGAGCCGCGCGGGTCGCAGGCGGGCGCCCTCCGCTCCCGCCGCGCCTCGCCAGGGTCCATGGAATCCCAGGGGCCTCAACCAGGGCAGGAGGGAGAGGGGCGGCCTCTGGGATTCAGGGAGAGCCCACGATACCAGCGGGACCTGCCGGGGGCTCGTTAGCCGTCAAGGGCACGCAGAAAGAGTGGACTTGACGCAGCGCAGAGGGTGTCCGGCTGTGTTCCTCTAAGACTGTGGGAGCCAGGCCTCCACCCCTATGGCCCCTGGGCTCTGCTCCCTCACTCTCTTCGCCCCTACCTCAGCCTCAGCGTCTGTCGGTTCTGGATGCAGATCTTTGCTGCAAAATCTGAGTGCTAAGGTTCGAAACCTGATCTTAGGACCCAACGAGGGCGTGACAGGGACAGGAGGGCAGGGGTGGGGTGGGGTGGGGTGGAGGTTGGGTCAGGGGGTGGTGTTTGTACCTTCATCCCACATCTGGCCAGGGGTGAGCATTCTGAAGCCTGCATCTTGTTTTGTTTTTGTTTTGCTAGCCTGACTTTTCAAAGAGCCCTTCTCAGAACCCCACTGACAATGCCTTTTCTGTTTCTCCTTGTTCCTGGAGTCCTTGGTCCAGATTCTCCTTCCCTACAAACATTTTTTGGAGGCAGGAGAGAGTAGGGGAGGCTATTTGGAACCTTTATGCACATTCCTGCACTAGGAGAGCAGGGGCCCCAGCTATGCATGGGGCAGGTACAGCACTTTAGGGGCACACTTTCTAGACAGCCTTCAGCCAGTGTTGTGCTCCCAGCTTCAGCTCTGGGAAATGTGACACTCACAAACTGGATGCAGCCAGAGGCCAGTTGCATCCTTTCCCACGGTCTCTCCTGGATCCAGACTGCCACTGGTTGCCAGCTGCCAGTAGGCATGTGGAGAACTGGGGTTAGGAAGCTTAGGTTCCAGATCTGGGGCCATGCTAACTCCTGGATGACCTTGGTCTAGGGCCTCCTCTTTGGGCTTCAGTCTCCTCAGTGGTAGTAAGGGATGGTGGTGGTGGTTTCTTCTAGTGGGACTCTGAGATTCTGATCTAAGGGATCCTAGGTGGGGAAGGGTTGTGTCTGGGACTGGGGTGGCCCTTGGTGGTGATGGTGGTGGTGGTGGGGAGGGCTGCCCAGCCGCCAGTGGCTCTGGTTCCCTTGTATTTTCTGTCAACACCATCTCCCTACTCCCTTCCCCACTGTTTGGGCCCTGGACCCCTGCTCTTCCTGGAAGCCTAAGGAAGCAGCTGGCACCAGATGCCCCCTGCCTGTGAGTCAGCGCTTCATGTCACAACTGTCCACTTGGCTCCAGACCTGGTATCCCCTGGCTCGGCCTTCTCCCTGGACCCCTCAGCTACTACTGTGGTCTCTGCTGCCATCCTTCCATCTGTCCCTGCCCCCAGCTGAACTACTAACTCCGACCTTCAGGGCTTCTCTGCAATCATATTCACTTCCAGACTCAACTGACCTAGGAGCCTAACTGGATAATCAGTTTCCCCAGCTATCCTGGTGGGAAACTGAGGCTGGAGAGAATTTATGAGTGACCTAGGGACATGCAGAGAGGCAGTGACCTAGCAAGGAGCCCCCAGTATCTGCCACCTTGAGTTCTTTGATGACCACTGTGCCTCTCCCCAGGACCGGGGACCCACCCTATCAAGCCCCACACTCAGCCCCACCTAGCATCCCCAAAAACTGACCCCTTAGGCAGTAGGATCCTTAAGCGGAAACAGCATTCTTCCCTCCTTTCCACATCTCTCCCTGTGTGGGGGCCTCCTGGACACCCTCTCTGGTCCTCATCCCCTGATTAGAGAGTATCAGCCAATTTCCTTTTAGCTCTGTCCATGGCATTCGTTGGCCATCAGCCTGTCCAGTTTCTATATAGCCTCTTATCTCCTCACTTGGGGATCCCTCTGATAGCATCATCAGGGGCTGCAATGTCTGGCTCCACCTTTCTCCTACAGGTGAGGAGCCTGAGGCTAGGACAGAGCAGGGATTGGCCCAGGTCACCCCAGGAGGCCGGATGGAGAAAGAACCCAGAAGTCCATACTCCTAGCTCTCAGCAGCCCCACCCCACTCCCTCTTCCCTGCTGTGTCCCTGCAGCCCCCTTCAGCTCACTCACCTGGGTGGGGGGAGGGGGGAGGGCCAGAACTGCACTCAAAGACTGGTCTGGTGGCAGCCCTGTCAAGAAGTGAGGCTGCTAGTAGGACGGCCACCTATATAGGCTTCTGCCCTGACTATTTTGGGAGGTGGCGCTCCCCCCAGCCCCCCCTTACCCCCTCCCCTTCCGGTGTCAGGTACTGCTCAACAGTGGTGGTGCTGGATGTCTGTATCACATTTACCCTCCCTGGGCCCATGGAGCCAGGCCTATTAATAACCCTTGGCCCCTGACTCCCTTTAGCATCCAAAACAGTCCCAGGCAGGTCTCACCTCCTCCATGAAGTCTTCCGTGACCACCTCAGAAGGTAGCAAGGTTTCCTTCCTTCAATCGCCTGCAGGGAAAGGAAGAAAAAATGCCTGACGGGTTAGACCCCAAATTGTCTTCCATGCACAGGATGGGGTGAAGTTCCTAAACCTATGTGATCTTTCCCCACAACATTGTTGCACAGACATGGTTGCTCTGTGTAACAGAGGGCACCAAGGCACAAGAAGTTTTGTGACTTTCTGCTCATAGTTTGGACCTGGAAAGTGGTGGAGCTGGCAGTGACCTCGGCACTTCCATAAGGTGACCTTGTATCTAGCAGGAAGGTGTCCTCAGTGTGTTCTCTGACAAGTCTCGTCTGCTCTCTGTCTCAGTCTCCCCATCAGTAATGGGCTTGCAGGACTATGAACCCCTGAAACTATATGCACAATGTTCTCTGCACATATGTTTTTGTGGAGCAATGGACCTTAGCTTTCCTGAGATCAGCATGATGTCTGCCTTCTGTCTTAGATTGGAGATGGCAGTACATTGGTTGCATTTGTGAAGGCATGAATGGATGAATGAATTTAACAAATATTTAGCATGAACAACATGGAAAGTTCTCCCCGTTTCCACCCCACTCACCTCAAAAATATCTCCGAGATGAGGATGTTGTCAACATTCGATTTCAGTTCTTAATGGTGATGTGACGAGGGTCAACATTCATGCAAAGGCTGCTAGGAGAAAGGTGTTCTATTGCCCATTGGCTCCATGGATGAAAAGAACAGAGGAGGAAACTCGATGGGGTAGGCTAGAGCAATAGCCCAGATGTGTAGTGGAGTACGATAGTGATTAAAATAAAGACAGAGGAGTATCCCTAAAGGAAGATTTCCCAGACATGGGGGACAAGTCCAGCTTGGGCAAATCCAGGTTAAGCCTACATTTTCAAGCATGCATTCATTGGAAAATGGCAGTTCAGTTTGGAGTTGGTAGGTCTTGGGAGAAGATGAGGCCTGAATGGGTTGATGATTCATTGGAGTTGAGAATCCTCGGGTGTTATGGTTGGGACAGTGTCTACTGTAAGCTACTCATCTGACAGGTGGAGGAACCAAGGCCAAGATGACTTGTCCCAAATTACATAGTGAGTAATGGAGGAGCCAGGGACTTCAGTTGAGTCTAGAATGCCTATGGGGTGCACTGCAGATGCCCAGAAGGTCTGAATTTCAGAGAGCTGTCAGGGCTGGTAGTTACCAGGGAGGCCAAGGAGTTGTAGCAGAAGAATGGTTGAACTTAGAGAATCGAGAAAGTTGCAGAGCCTTTGAAGAAGATTGTTGGCTGTGGTCTGGGAAAATAACCACATGTGTTTGCTGAGCACTGTGCTGGGCACTGGACATTCGGCATCATACCTTTGTCCATATAGTCCCTCTGTTGTTGTTTAGTGCTGTTGCGTTCGTTCCAACTCATAGCAACCCTGTATAGAGTTTCTGAGGAGTGGCTGGTGAGTTAGAACTGCTGGCCTTGTAGTTCTGACCGACCTTTCAGTCCAGTGCTTATCCAACAGCGCCACACTGAATTGCCAGATCCATTTTACTGATGAAAGAACAAGGCTGAGAAAAGCTATGCCACTTGCTTAAGTTCAAAGATCGTAGTGGTTACGAATCTGGCTGCAAACCTCAAGGTCGGCAGTTCAAAACTACTAGCCGTTCCACGGGAGAAAGATGAGGCTTTCTGCTCTCATAAAGCCTTGGAAACCCTGTACAGGGTTACTATGAGTCGGAACTGACTCCATGGCACATGACCACCACCACCATTGGAGTCCTGGTACGGCGCTGTAAGATAAGCACTGGACTGCTAACCACAAGATCAATGCGACAGTTCAAACCTACCAGCTTCTCTTTGGAAACCCTATGTTTTTGTTGTTAAGTGCTGTTGAGTCAGTTCGGACTCATAGTGATGCTGTATAGGATTGACCTTTCAGTTCAAACCAATCTACTTGATAATGTAGGCACTAGGAATAGGGCTCCCCAAGAATGAATTTTCAGAGTCCAGGATGCTTCCTCTCGGTCCCAGTATGTCTTCTCCACGGACCTCAGCTAAGCAGCTCCACATGGTCTGAACCGTATTGTGGGGGTGCATTTAGGGAGTGCCTACTGTGCGACTCGATGGCACTTCACAACAACAACACCTGTGTCCAGTGTTTTATGCACATTTTCTTGATCTCAAGGGCAGGGGAACTAGGGGTGAGGGTGTGGGAAAAAAATTATAATCCTGTTTATTATATTCGGGTAATTTTTTTATTTTCTGAAGTAAAGACTTTATGATCTTTCTCTTTTTCTTTGGTTACTTCCTGAAGTGAGTAAAGAATTTATGGTCACTTTCTTTTTCTTTAAAGCACTTCCTGGAGTAAGGAATTTATGATAACTTTCTTT